CCGGGGAGGAGAGGCCAGCCGCCAGATGCTGGCTGTCCAAAGGGCTTTGATGCCTACTCCCATCCCTCCCCGACTTGACCATTTTGACCTCAACCCGAGCCTCCGCTCACCTCCGTACAAGAATAACCGTGCTTCCTTGAGACTTCCGGAGTGTGTGCACGTGTGGAGTACTAAGATAAAAACTGCCATATTCAAACAGCCTACAAAGAAAGGAAGTCAGAGCGAAGGAAAGCCCTTAAGGAAGGACATTCTCTTCTGTATTTAGGGGCACAATACGTATTGGCTGTATTATGACTCTCAGCATCTTCCTGCAGGGCAGCAAACATGAAAGTCTTTTGACAAAGACTGAACTGCCTGGAGGACGCTCACTGCCCCATTTCAGCTGACATGAATGAAAATTAAATATTCGGGTTACAAAGATCTTCCTTGCAGTTTCAAAGCATGTAAGTGAGCCTGATAACATTGTTACTATTTACCACAAAAATGGTAGATAGCTATTAATAGGATTTTTCTATTAATAAGACACATTTTCTAAAAAAAACAACAGCAACCTTCTCTTCCCAAATAGCCAAATAGATTGAGGCCTCCCCTCCCACTGCAAAATCACAGTATCCTCTTCCTTACAATATCTGCTCTTTGTTATAATTAAACAATGAGTTCAAAGCCAGTGGGGAAAGGAATTTTATTGCTAAACTTCTGAAAGATTAATACAAACAATAGAAAGGCAAAATTAAAAACCTATTAAAAAAGTTAGTTTTCCTTGTAAAAGTGCTTTATAAAAAACTGAAGACAAATGACGTTTTTGTAAGTTTTGTGTATTGCAAACCTTGACAATTATGCATGCAACTAACTTGGGTGCTCATTGATTTTTAGTGTCTTGTCTGGTCACATTTTAAACATGTCAAGGAAATTCCACCACAGCAGTACCTTTACAAATACAAATTAGGAGAAGTATTACAGAAGCTTTGTAAGAAACACACCTTAGGAATCCAGCCTGTGCCACACGCTGTGTCCGGCAGTTTCTAATATGTGTCACTTATGGACTCAGATGCACTTGAAGAAAAACTGTACTTGGTTCCAGGTCTTGCTAATGGAAGCAAAATTCCCCCTGAGAACATTACTTCAGTACTAACAGCATTTAGTTTTACACTTTAATGATTCACTTTCTCGATGTTTTATTTTGGAAAATACAAGCAGTTCTTGCTGTCATTCTGGTGTAACAGTTTACCAAGATAGGAGCAAGTAATTTGGTAAAAATTCACACATTTTTCTTTTCTAAAATGTAAACTTCTCAAGTAATATCTGTATAGTTAGCATAGTGCGGTAACAATGGTGACAATTATGAAAAGAATACGAGTTACATTAAAAACTTCAGGAACATGAGCAAAAGATAGTGAAGTCCAGACACACAAGAACAAACAGGACATCGTTTTAGCCACACAGAAGTAAGGACACAAAGAGAGACGTTTCTTGTGAAGGAAAGGCAGTTGTTATTCGTGTCATGCTTGAAGGCAACTCGCCGATGACCTTCTCTGTAAGAAAAAAGGGTTTATTAAATGCTCTTTCTTTATTAAATGCGTTTCTCTTACAGATTGTAACACAAAAGCTCCTTTGCTCTAAGAAAAACTGAATAACCACTTTCCTTTGTTGGATGTTGGCATCCTTGAATATTCTAAAATTTTTTAATTGGCTTTTTGATTTTGCTTTCATTTTTTATTATCCTAAGATAACTAAATAATAATAAACTAGATAATTGATCTGTCAGCAAAAGATGACTAAATTACATCGTGGGCTGAGCTATGCATTTCTGAAAGTACCATAAATTAACCATCAAACTTGTCTGAGCAAATATTTGGTATCCTGTCTGGATGGCGCAATCAAACTCGAATCCTAGAAATACATACATACACACACACAAAAAAAGCAGATAGCCGGCTTCAATAACAGAAGAACACATGCAACAGCCACTACCAATGTTATCTCATGTGCAGGAAGAATTAAGGGTAGCACCTAAATTAAGAAAAACTTCTGTTTGTGCTTCCCCCACCGCCAAGTTTTTCCGCAGAGCATCTCACGCTCAGTTGTTCTCTCTCGTCAGGTTCAATCCTGTTTCGTCCAACCTATGCAGCAACAATCAAAACTGCGCTACTGATGAGGCACAGGCGTGATTGTAAGCTTAGGAACCCTGGCAGTGGGGAGGGGAAGATTTTACAAGTACTTTGTGTTTTAGTTTACGTTCAGCCCTGAAAGAAAACATTCATTTTCACTTTGACAGCACTCTCAAAGAGCGGAATTCAGTGGTTCTTTCTGTAGTTTTTTTCAGCTCTTTATCAGGAATTACTTTGTTTCTTTTAGAGAAGAGGAACCCCTTCTGAATGTCCTACTTCCATGTCTGTTCACCATGCAGAAGAAGTAAGATTTTCCAGCAAAAGTCGTGGTGTGACCCTGCCCAAGACTACTAGCACACACGGCCGTTCTTCCTCCCGCTGCAACCGCTGACCTCTGCACCGCAGATGAGAGAGGCAGGAGCGGGAAGCACAGAACTGGATCCCAAAGACCCGCCAACGCTGGGCGGGCGGCCGCCCACCCACCCTGCAGGCGTTGCGGAGGCAGCAGGGACAAACCAGGCAGAGTTCGGGGAGCGCCTCGTCTTTCAGACGCGCGCTTGTAAAGGTTGTGAGGGATGTGATAAGGGATTGCCTCGGCTCCTCTCTGCTTCTGCCGCTTTTGGTGCTGTACCAACAGTAACAGCCGAAGGAGCCTAAGGACAGACACAGCCAAATGAGCTGCTCTGTGACGTCGAAGGCAAAGCGTATTCCAACAAGGCTGCTGGTTAAGCGGTGAGCTAGTCATCAAAGCACACGCAGGTGCCGCGGCTCTGTCCTACTGCTCCAAGCTGGGTACGCGACTGGTTTTTATGTCTGGGCTGGGTCAAACACAGCCATGTTTCTCAGGCAGTTTTTAATACTCTGGATGCTGCCAATGACCTTAGAGCTGTTCAAACACAAAAACCAACCAACCGACAAAAACACCAACTCAAACAAAACACCTCTAGAAAGAGCCATAGGAAAGAGACATGATTCAATTGCCACACCTAAAAGAAACAGAAAACAGTCTGTAGAGCCAGCAGGGAAGTGATGAACACTTCGCCACCAGGAACTAGACACTCAAACAGCTTTCAACGTGTGCCCTTGTCCCTCCTAGGGCATGAGTTTCAAATCAGAGTTGTGGTATCTGTGACTTTATTACCTGATTTCAGAGTAGAGCACAGGACCGTGGTTCTCGAAAGGGATTGCTGCCCGCAGGAACCCCGACAAGCAAGGCATCTTTGCAGGCATTTTGCATACAGTACTGCTGGAGTTCTGCAGCTGCCTGAGAGACCTGTGTAAAGGAAAAAGAAACACAAACACAGAGAGGAAACTAATTCATTCACAGGCATCTATTAGGCACTGCCTCTTGAAGAACCATTATCAAACAGAGCTGGAGAGCAGCCAAGTCAGCTCTCGGGTTCTAAAACACCAAGTAAATCAGCACAGACGCTCATTTACAAAGCACCAATGAAACATGCACGAAATACTACGCCAGTGATGAGCCAGAGGAGTGCAGAGGGCTGAGCTGCAAGTGCAATGCAAGTTGCCCTCATTAAAATGCACAGGGCCATGACCACAATATTTTCCAATCTCCTGTACTGTTTTCGGGTTTATATCTGAACTCTTACATCCTCAGGTAATTTATAAAAAGGATTTTCATTTCCAAACTGTTAGGCAACACAGAGCATAACAAGGAACGAAAGCAAAAAGATGAGGATGAACAGTCCAAATTGCCACTATCCCCTGGCAGCGAAGTGAGAGCTTCAAATCCGCACACTGGCTCCCAGAGAGGAGAGCTCAGGGCTGCAGAACAAGAAGCCCAGAAACCCAAAGGCAAGATGCCTCCAGCACTGAACGCCCCTGCTCTCCCTGTGGACAGCAAGTCATTCGTGTGCTTGTATTTTTGAAGGAAAGCGTAGGGGAATTCCCAATTTCTCAGACACGCATTGGCAACAGCTGCAGGGAACTGTCAAAATCCCCGCTGTCTGCTACATCTTTACATTTTAAAGGAAATACTGAGCATGCTGGTGGGAATACAAGTTCCCCTCTGACGTCACCTCTGCCTCCACTACAGGACTCTCAAAATACTGATTTTTCTTCCTACGCAACTTCACAATGTTGGCAGCAGCAGGATGAGACAACAGCCAGAAGGACGACCCACGCTTCCCAGCCTGCTGTTGGCAGGGGCCACCCCGGAGCCCTAACGGGGCTCTGATTCAGGGACATCCCACCTAACAGCATCTGCAAGCGCGTAGGAAGTCTGGCCTAGGGCACGCTTTCGTTCGCTGTCTGGCTGCTGTCCTGTGCACCACCTCCCAGCTCTCCTCCAGGACACCCATCCTGGTAACCCCGCCCCAGTTTACCCAGCAGCTGTCAGCATTTTGGGGAGCTGTCAAGAAAAGCACTTTCCCGGGTTCCAGCCTCCCGGCTTCTCCTGGCTGGGGTACAGGGAGTCGCATCCACAGCAAGGACCCCCACTAGTCAGAGGGCTTTGTCACTCCTCCCTTCCTCCAGGAGAACTCCTTTCTGGAGGCTGCAAAATGTCTCCCACCCACCCCAGCCCCTCGGACCCCCTGCGGCATCAGCACCCTTGCGTCAGCACTGACCCCGCAGTGGGAGCCGACTGTGCCCTGCATGGCTCTCAGGCAGAGGGGCCACTTGTCAACTCCGATCAGCCAAGGCCGCATGTTTTTCCTGGGAAAACGAGCAGAGTCTCCCTCGGGACAGGGCTTGCCCTACGAGCGCAGCACGGTTTGCAGTTGCTCACGGCGTCTCCCCGCACCTTGCCGCTGAATTCTGCAGCTGTCTATGTCCCGGTGCTCCTGGAAGGGTACAACCCTGATTGCTGGCACTTGTGTGAGGGTTAGCCGTGCAGCAGCAGAATGTTGTTCCAGGACGGATCTGCCCGCTCTCAGCCCTCCCTATGCCCCTACAACATTCTCCAGTCCTCCACTTCACACAGCAAGCACAAGGGTTTCTCCCATATTTCACCACAGGGCAAACACGCTCCCCGCGGCAGCCTCCTGCGTGCAAGATGTGTGTGGGTACTTCTTTCCTACTCGGGTTTCCTCTTTCTGAAAATACTGTTCCTGTCTGCTTTTTTAGCTGGCAGGGTAAACAAAATCACCATTGGAACTTTGCAGTGTGGGATGTATTTTCAAAAATCCTTTCATATCCAGCTTCCATCTGAAAACACATTGTCTATTCACAGTAGCCAAACAATGTTTTCTCCCATCTCCGTGTCTGCTAAAACTGATCCAAGTGGTTTTTCACCAGCTGAATATATTCCTTACTGTTTTCACACTGCATGTCAAGAAACCCTAAATGATGCTTTTTATAGGACACATTTTCATTCATGCAGCTTTTCGCTTGTGATTATAAAAAGACACGAACAGGCTCCTAGAACAGCAGACCTGGAAAGAGACCGCTGCACACAATGCTGCCAGACAGACGAGACCGAGGTTTCGCCAAGGCCGAGCCTCCCCAGAGTACAAGCAGACCCACAATAAATATGCAGCCTTGAGCAGCACAGATCCAGAATATGTGACTGCCACAAAGTAGCCCCCAATAACCTACAAATTCCATTTTCATACCCATTCCCAGCCTCCCCTCAAAAAAGCGGGAGGGGGTCTATGCCTGAAAACGAGCGGGAACAGAGACCCAGGCTATCGCTGGTACTATAAAGCAACAGCAATGTTTGGTCAGCCACTTCTGCGTTAGACAGTACCTGCCTTGCCACGAGGGGCTGCATTTCCACTCGGCGTCGTGCCGCGTCTCGCCGACCCCCACACATCGCTGCAGCGACCGACTGCAGTCACACCTAGCGAGCAAACATCTGCCCATCCACTACTTGCTAATGAGGCTTCGTAGCGCTAATGAATTGATGGGGGCGATGTCCAAAAGCCACGGCGGTTTCACCTCGCAACAGACACTTCGAATTCCCACCAGCCCGGGACAGGAACGGTGAGAAAAGGTATTCCAAACCGTTTGGAACTCGCTTAGCCGGGTTCCCGCAGCTCCAGATGCCGGCACCGCCGCCGGGCCGAGGAAGCCGG